TTCACTCAGTAAAGCCAAGAAATTTGGAAGACAGCTACCTGGCCAACTGACTGGAAAAGATCCATATTTGTACCCAGTCCAAAGAAAGGTGATCCCACAGAATGTGGAAATTATCGAACAATTTCATCAGTATCACATGCAAGTAAAATCTTACTGAAGATAATTCAAAAATGGTTGCAGCACTATATTGACAGAAAGCTTTCATAAATACAAGCTGGATTCAGAAGAGGACGTGGAATGAGGTATATCATTTCTGATGTCAGATGGTTCTTAGCTGAAAGTAAAGAATGCCAGAAAGATGTTTGCTTATGTTTTATTGACTATGCAAAAGCATTCAATTGTTTGGATCATAACAAATTATGGATAACATTGAGAAAAATGGAAATCCTTGAACAGTTGATTGTACTCATGAGGAATCTGTACATAGATCAGGAGGCTGTTGTTTCAACAGAAAAGGGGATACTACAGGTTCAAAATCAAGAAAGGAGTGGGTCAAGGTTGTATCCTTTCACCATACTTATTCAACTGGTATGCTGAGCAAAATCAGAGAAAATGGGATATATGAAGAAGAACATGGCCTCAGGATTGGAAAAGATTCATTAACAACCAGCAATATGCAGATGACACTACTTTGCTGGCTGAAAGTGAGGATGAGTCGAAGCACCTACTGATGAAGTTTAAAGACTACAGTCAGCAATATGGATTACACCTCAATATAAAGAAAACAAAAGTCCTCACAACTGGTCCACTAAACAGCTTCACAGTAGACGGAGAAAGATTGAAGTTGTCAAGGATTTCATATTACTTGATTCTACAATCAACACCAATGGAAGCAGAAGTCAAGACATCAGATGACATATTACATGGGGCAAATCTTCTGCAAATGACCTCTTTTAACTGATGAGGAGCAAAGATGTCTCCTTGAAGACTAAGGTACACCTAACCCAAGATATGGGTTTTCAATAACCTCTTATGCATGTGAGAGCTGGACAATGAATAGGGAAGACTAAGGAAGAGTTGATGCTTTTAAGTTGTGGTGTTGGAGAAGAATGCTAAGAGTATCATGGTCTGCTAAAAGGACTAACAAATCTGTCCTGGAAGAAGTGCAGCCAGAATGTGCCTTTGAAACAAGAATGGCCTGAATTTGTTTCATCTACTTTGGTCATGTTGTCAGAAGGAACCATTTCCTGGAGAAGGATATCATGCTTGGTAAAGTGGAGCATTAATGAAGTAGAAAGCCCTCAGCAAGATAGATAGACACAGTGGCTGCAACAATGGGCTCAGGTATAGTAAGTATCGTGAGACTGGCAGAGGACCAGGCAGTATTTTGTTCTGCTGTGCATAGGGTTGCTATGAGTCAGGAATGACTCATTGGCACCTAACAACAACAACAACAATATGCAGATCTGGCTGTGTAGTGTCTGGTTTGCATGCCATGGGAGGTAACAAGATCTCATCCACCTTTGAGTGCAACAAGACCCCACTGGGGCACTCTTTCACACAGTCTCTGCCCAGTTAACAGGTGAAACTGGTTATCTCTGAGCTGGTGTCACTTCTATTTCTCTAACTCTGGCAAGTCCTTGGCTTGCACACTATGTACCTGGAATTCATCCTAGATCCAATCCTCCAAAGCATGAGATATTAATTACCACAAATTCTGTGTTATTAAGCTGTGGTAGTTAAGGTTGTATATCACCTTGGCTGGGCTTGGTTTTGAGTGGCTGGACAGCTGAATATAGTTATTCCCAGTGATGAGACTGGTAATCAACCCCATGGTGGAATCTACTGTAAGTACCTGAGTAATTGCATTAGGGATGTGCTCTAATCCTATTTAAGAAGATGCTTTGAGAAAGGCCTTGAGCTTTTGGCTCATCTGGATCCCACATTTGGCTGAGTCTTCATCTCAATGGCCTGCTATGTTGTCTGACAATCTTGAGACTGTTAATGGATTTAAATTAGTGTCCTACTGTGTGGTTTGATGATTTTGGGACTGCCATTTTACTTGTTGACTTTGGATTTGTCACTCTCAGCAGCCAGCAGTTGTCTGAGATAAAAGAAACCTCCAGCTTCAGTGGGCCAGAAGCAAGAGGCAGAGCTAAAGACCATGGTTGAGGGGTTTTCACCCAGCTCCTAGAGCTGTCACTTTGATCTAGGATTTCCATATTCCTAAACTATAAGAGAATAAATCCCTGTTCATTGAAGCCACCCATTGGCGGTATTTTCTACTAGAGAACCAAAACATAAACCTAAATCCAACTCCACTGATTGTGATCTGCTGGTCTTGGTCCTACCTTCTACATGATTTTTTTCCTCAACCTTTTAGGAAAGATGAGTTAGACAAGGATTGGTTAAAATGAAAAGGAGAAACATAAAAAGGAAGTGTAAAATGTTTCTGACTTTTCACATCTGAGAAAGTGTTTTCCCTTACCATGTATTACCTTCTGCCCTGGTACCTCCTGCAGAGCATGGGGTCGAGTAGAGGGACCTGGATGGAAGAAACTGCACAGGAACAAGCCAGCCCTGAAAGTATGCCTCCACACAGAGGCTGAATGACAACACAGATAATGGTGAATATCCAAGAAGTTGGTTAAGGAAAACCCACAAATTTTGTGTATAAATTACCATTCTTTGAATTCTACATCTAAGACACAGATAATAGCATTTTACATTGAAAATTGTCTGAGAATTCTTCCTGTTCAAGCCAGTGAAATTGAAAAGATAAGGTTTAAATTGAGAAAGACTAAGGGAATTCTCAGCCATTAGCAAAGCATTCCAGGATTTGGTGTAGTTTCTAGAGACGTGTGTTAGGAGGCCTAAGAGACCTTCTGTAGGAAGCAGGTTGAGCTCCCACAATTTCACCATCTACTGCCCCTGCAGGCAGGAGAAGAGGAAGGGAGAGGTGGAGATGATGAAATGGGGTATTTGTTAACTCTCCAATCAGACTCACCTGCTGGAGGAGCTGGTTTGGAGAAGGGGTGTGAAAAGCAACACTCAGGGAAGGGTGGCCAAGCTCCCAAATTCAGTGGGGGAATGAGCCGGGGCACTTACACAAGCAACAGATGCTGGGAGCTTCATGAGGCAACCTCCCAGTATAGCCTTGCATTCCTGGTTACTCCTCAGAAATTTGCAATGAATTGAAATGAACACTATCTTGAGATAAAGTCCTTGTCTTCTTAAACTAGATGTGTTGATTGCAACTATTTCTGTTGATTGCAACCACTGATTGAAATGCTGATACAACTCTGTGCATTTATGCATTACAAATGAAAACATACCCACAAAAAGATTAGAAGTAAAATAAATATTTTCCAAACTAGCTGGAGATTGGGCTGGTGGAATTTATCAATCCAAGAGAAGTCAGGAAATGATGGGGGAAGAGGGAGTAAAAAAAAAAAAGAAAATCATTAATGGAAAATGAAAATAAAATGGTAGAAATAATATAAATGTTATCAGTCATCACAACAAATTTAAACATATTAAACTATTCTCTTAAAACAGAGATTATCTGCTTGGAACTTAAAAAAATCCATTTGCAGGCTGCTTGAAAGAAATAAATAGGTAAATTAATGTAAAAAATAACAATAAAAAAGGCTGAAAATAAAGAATTGGAGAAAGATAAACCAGGCAAAGACTCAAAGTAGAGATGGAGAAAGACCCTACACAATGATAAAAGGAACTACTATCTGCTCAGAATAGACATCAATAATAAACATATTTGCTGTACTTGAGCCCATCATTGAAACCATTGTGTCAATCCACCTCATCGAGTATCTTCTCCTTTGTTGCTTATCTTTTACTTTACCAAGCTGCTGTGAACAGCTAAGTAGTTGAAGGGGAGTTACCTTCAGGATGTGCCCTGCTTCCATTATATATGGAGAAGCTTTGAGGAAGATCTCTAGCTTTTTGGCACATTTTGGATCCTGCATTTGGCTGTCTTCATCTCCAGTTCCTGGATTTAACTAGTGGCCTGCTGTATTGCCTGACAATCTTGGGATTGTGCCATTGAGACTGTCAGTCTCAAGTTTGCCAGCCTTATCAGCCAGCAGCTGTGTGAGTTAATAGAAGCCTTCAGTTCCAGTGGGCCAGGAATAAGAGGCAGAGCTGAATGCCAAGGTTGAGGGGTCTTCACCTAGCCCCTAGATCCAGCATTCTGAACTTGGACTTCTAACTTCCTAAATTATAAGAGAATAAATTCCTGTTTATTAAAGCCATACACTTGTATTTCTATTGCAGAAACACTAGAGAACTAAGGCATCAAGCATGATATCCTTCTCCAGGGAAAGGTCCCTTCTGACAACATGACCAACTGCTAACCACAAGTTTAAACCCATCAACCACTCTGCAGGAGAAAAGTGAAGCAGACTACTTTTGGAAAATTTTCAACCTTGGAAATCCTACGGGACAGTTCTATACTGTCCTATAGTGTTGCAATGAGTTAGAATCTAGTTGATGGCATTTGATTTGATTTCAGCATATTTAGAGAGAATCTGGACCCTGAAACCCAGATGCATCCCCAAATGGTGGAGTTTTCCAGCTATGAATGCACAGGGCACAGATGATGGTTCCTTTGTAATATTCCCTATATTGTGGTCCACACAACATGGCATTGGAGTGTTCCAATTCACTGTCTTCCATAGGCTCCATGTCATCTGAGAAAAGGACCAAGACACTGTAGGCCACATTGTCTGGAAGTAAAAGTCAGAGAAAATGCAGTGTCACACCCAGTGACCTGCTCCCAGCAGAAGGAAGGAAAGAAAGGAAGAAGGAGCAACAAAGTACAATTTTTCCAGGGAGGGTAGCAGCTCTCCATCAGCTGATCCCAAACAACAAATCACCCTGGACCAATCCATCCAGTGTCAGTTTGGGCTCTTATTACTTTCTGTCCTGGACTTTGCCTCATCTGTACTCTCAGTCTGTGACTACAGCAAAGGGAGAAAAGAAGCTCCAAATTGTATGCTGGCTGGCAGTGGAAACTTCTACATCAGAAGTATGCAACTCACCATGGTGGCAGTGAATGGAATGTTGTCAATCAAGGATGAGGCTGTGGCTGAAACCCAGACCACCAGGACAATAGCCACTGCAAGGCGCTGCTCCTCAGGGACCATCTAAAAGGGACAAATAACAGCAATGTTCAGACATAAATGTTAACTGCAAAAACAGTTGAAGTGTGAAATTACAGATCCTAAATATGATTTGATTCTATATATCTGTGAGATTTAAAAAGAATATTCTTCTTACACACAAGAGATGAAGGCAGATGCATATTTACTGGTCAGCAGGTATTCAAACAGGGACCACATCCAGGCTTTCCTGACTCTTTACAGGATCTTCTGGGTTTCTATGAGTAAATTGAGGAAGGGCAACTCCATGACCACTCTCCAGCCTCCTAGTTCAGTCAGGAGAAAAGCAGAGCTGTCTCTTCCTTTGCTAGCACCTTGTGGTGACATGACTGTCACCCTGCCCTGAACTCCACCACACCCTAGGATAAAGGTTCTGGAGCACTCATTTGCCCAAATCATGGACCAACTTGCTCTCCTTATAAGATATTTTTCACTGAAGGCTAATAGCAAAATAGCTGGAAACTGTAATTATATATTATTTGGGAAATGTCTCCCTTTAACTCTAGACTACATAGCATAAAGAAGCTCTGGTAGCATAGTGGATAAAAGCACTTGACTGCTAACCAGAAGGCTGGCGGTTCAAACCCACCAGCCACTCCTCGGAAGGAAGGTTGGGCAATCCTACTTCCATAGTGATACTGTCTCGGAAACCCAAGGAGAGGTCGCTATGAGTCAGGGCTGACTCGACGGCACATAACAACAACAACAACATAGCATAAAATAAGTTTCCTGCAGTAATTTTTTACATAATTAATAGGGCCTGTTCATGGCAGACTTTTTTATTTTATTTTACAAAATCAGAGGGACATTGTCTAAAGCACATTCTATTACTGTATTTAATGTACCTTTATTAGCAAAGCAGTCTGTTCTCCAACATATTCTATTAAGTGGAGATGTGCCAAGGCCTAGAGGAAATGGACATGTGGTAAGAATTAATTTAAAGCTGAGAATAGATGCAAATTGTAAAGCCATATCTTTAAAATAAAAATAATTAGATTTATTTTTTAATAAATCTGATTCTTACTTCTTATAAAATATCAACTCAAATATACAGTCGATAAATAATTATTTACTACTATATGTACACATAGAAGATTCATCAAGAAAAAACAATGATAGCAGAGGCAGGGGATTCCTCATTTATTTGGATTAATATCTGCATTAAATTTCATTTCAAATGGACAGCAATCTCTCTTTTTTTAAAGGCCTGTGTATAAGAGTACTGTTCAACTAACTGTACGTAATGAAATGCCACTCCATATAAAGAATCTTTCAAGTAAATTGCATTTTCAATTTTTTAAAGTTAAACATCACAGTTAGTAAGTACTAAAAATAAAATGCTGATTTTTATAATCTTCAAAGAAAGAAAAGAAAATTCTATTTAACTGAAGTGTGTAACTAATTTCACAATACTGAACAGATTCAGGTCATTATATTGCAGGAAAGAGAGAGAACAAAAGAAAGAAAATGAGAGCACAGGAACCATCTGCTAACTCTGCCACTTTCAACAGCACCAATGGGGATTCTCAGGATCCAGGAGAGTCTGGAACAGGAAAGCACTGAAGAGCGATCTTGTAAGAGTGACACAAGGATGATCCAGCTGTCCAGCACCTGTCAAAGTTTACCTTTCCACTATGATTTGATTATGCTGAATGACCCTCAGTATTGAAAACATCAGCTTAAATAAGTCCAAATACAAGTTAAAAAACTCCAAAATTTATATATGGTTGTTAGTTTGCCTTCATTGAAGAATTATAAAGTGCAAATGCTGAGTCTTGCATAAAAATTCTCAATTCACAATAACCAATTTATTATACCAACTAAACCACAATTTATTATACCATTCTATTTACAGTAGAGTTTGGCAGGATAATTCATTGTTATGGGGGGCTGGCCTGTGCATTATAAGATGTTTAGCAGCATCCTTAGCCTCTACCCACTAGATGTCAGTAATACCTCCTCTACATCAATGTGACAATCAAAAAAATCTCCAGACATTGCCAATGTCCCCTGGGGGCAAAAATCATCTCTTGAGAACCACTGATTTAGAATATAATTGGTTCTGTAAAATCTAAAGATTCAAAAGCATTGTGAATGATTTTGTGACAATCACTACATAAATATTGTCCACTCATTTCTATGATAGTCTTTTCCATGATAACAGAAATGTTTACTCAAATATTACACAAAATTAAATAAATCCTGAAGGTATTATTACTTTGTAAACTTACTACAAGTCATGTTGCTCCAAACCCAACTTAGAGCAAATTCTACCTTATAGCAGTATATATATATATATATATATATATATATACACACATATGGGAGCTCTGGTAGCATAGTGCCTAAAGCACTTGACTGCTGACCAGAAGGCTGGTGGTTCAAACCCACCAGCCACTCGGAAGGAAGATGGGGCAATCTACTTCTGTAGTAATACTGCCTCAGAAACCCAAGGAGGGGTCGCTATGAGTTGGATCCGACTTGACGGCACATAACAACAACCAACAACAACAATATATATGTGTTTTATATATATATACGTAACAAGTGTACAAGCCAAAAAGAGAATTCTAGGAAAAAAAGGAAAGAAAAAAAAAGAATAATAATTTTATCGTAACTATTTAGGTAAATGAATTTTAACTTTAAATAATCTAATACAGCTTCCATCATTTTCTACTTAGTGAGTATGTGGAAAAACAGATGTAGGCTTTCTTCATCCACTAAATATAATATGAAATGTCAAAACCAAGTGAAATATCATGTTGCAAAAACTCTAATGACTTACCTCCATCAGTACAAAGAGTGCTGCAAAGAACAGAAGTGTTGCCCATTCCACTCTATGTAGAATTATTTCAAAATCATGGATATCTGCTAAAATTAGCAACCAGAGAGCACCCATAATAGCAATCCAGCCTGGAAAATAAGTAAAATGATATATACATATAGTTTAATTCTTAATAGTCCAAATGACTAAATTTTTATCTTCTGATTTTTTTCTTTATTGAGTATAACAATATACAGTAAACCAGACATAATTGAAAATGCACAATTTAATTTTTGACTATGTTATCACTCACAAAACCATCACTGCAATCAAAATAATGAACTTATCCATCACCCCTAGAACTTTACTCATGCTCATGTTATTGTACACCTCACTCCCTTCTTGTCACCACTTGTAGTAGCATTTCAATGTGGTTTCAAATTTAATTTCCCTAATGACTAATGGGCAGTCTAGAAAGTGGTGGGAGCCAGCTTTTGGAGGGCCAGAACAGGTACTGAAGGCAAGGAAATGGGAGTGGAGCAGTTTGGAACAGCTAAGGGAGATGAACTTGTCTGTCAGTTCGATGTCCTATGGTAGCTTTTGTGTTGCTGTGAGGCTGAAGGCTATGCCACTGGTGTTTCAAATGTGAACAGAGTTACTAATGGTGGACAGATTTCAGCTGAGCTTTGAAACTAAGAGAGACTCAGAAGAAGGAAGAGACTATCCACCTCTCAAAGAATTGGATAGTGGAAATCTTATGAACAGCAGTGAGACACTGTCTGATATATTACTGATAAACAATATCTTCAGTCAAAAAAAGGCCAGGAGCTGATTGTGGAACATACCATCAGCTGCTCATATGTAAGTTCAAGTTGAAGTTGAAGACAATTAAGACAAGTCCACAAGAGCCAAAATATGACCTTGATTAAATCCTTCCTGAATTTAGACACCATCTAAAGAAGAGATTTGATGTACTGAACACCAATGACTGAAAACCAGAAGAATTGTGGGATGGCATCAAGAACATCATCCATGAAGAAAGGAAAAAGTTATTAAAGACAGGAAAGGGGGAGTTCCAGTAAGATGGCAGAGTAGGCAGACAAACTGCACAGACCCTTTTCAACAAAGAAAAGGGGAATCGGTCAACACAGATTCAGAAGATAACCTGGAGCCCTGAGCTTTGAAGGGATGGATATAGAAGTGAAGTAAACTCCAAGTAGTAGAATAACTTGCATGGAAACACCAAAAACAGAGACATATGGAGTGTCTCTGGTGTGTCAGCAATCCTGATGGCACACACAGCTTGGATATTTCTGAGTGGTGTTAGGACCTAAGAACTAACATAAAAATCAGCCCTGCTAGCCAGACATGCACAGAGTACTGCACTGGTTGCTGGTGAATAAAAGAAAAAGCAGCAAAGAGGAAGGCAGGCTGAGCTGTAGAATTTTGCCTGTCCAGGGGATACAGCCATTTTGAAGGCTTACAAGTGGGTTGACCATTTTGGATACTTAAAGTGACAGTGTTCTCCTGGATACTAGGGACTTAAGAATAAGCTCAACTTGCTGGGAACCACAAGGGCATTCTGGATGCCAATGACTGGAAAGCTTCACTTACTGAGTAAGAGCCACCACTTCCTTCTCCATAAGTGGCCAAGGATAAACAACCACCAAGAAAAGCCTAACTTACCCTTAACTGCTCTTAACAAACAGTTAACAGAGATCTAAATACAACAATGTCACATGTCCTGGAGACAACAGACCATGACAGTCCACACAAAGAAGCAAGATAAAGTGGTAGATAAAGTGGGACCAGGATACAGACCCAAAACACATACCCAAGGAAGAAGCAGAATTGGAACTCCCTGATAAGGAATTTTAAAAAATTATATTTAGGTATCTTCAAAGGATTGAGAGACAGATCAAGGAAAAGACTGACAAAATTAAGGAAAACAGAGACAAAACCTTGAACAATTTTGGAAGAAAATAAAAGCACAAAATTACAAAATAAATGAAAAAATAGAAATGATACAAAATCTGCAGATAGAAATCCAGAACATTAATATGAAAGTTTCAGAAATAGATAGCACATTGAAAAGGCAAAGGAGTAGAATTGAATAAATGGATGACAGAATTAATGAGACTGAAGATAAATACCTGAATACTTCTTTGGAAAGGGATCAATCAGAAAAAAAGATCAAAACAAAATGAAGAAAGCCTAAGGTTCATGTGGGATACCAACAAAAGGCATAACATCCATGTAATCAGAATTCCAGAACAGGAAGAGAAAAAGAAAACTACTGAGAAAATTATGCAAGATTTGTTGGAAGAGAACTTCACTGATATGATGAAAGATGATAAATATACCCATTCAGTAAGTCCAACGAACCCTAAACAAGGTATACCACAAAAGAAAATCACCAAGACATATCATCATCAAACTCATCAAAACCAAAGACAAAGAAAGAATCCTGAAAACAGCATGGGAAAAACAAAAAGTTACTTACAAAGGGTAATTAATAAGACTAAACTAAGATTTCTCATCAGAAATCATGCAAGAGAGAAGACAATGGGATGGTCTATATACATGTGTGTGTGTGTGTGTGTGTGTGTACATATAGATATAGATATAAAACTCTGAAAGAGAAAAATTTCCAACCAAGAATTATATACTCAGCAAAATTGTCCCTTAAGTATGATGGTGAAATTTGGAGACTTCCAGAAAAGAAGAAATTAAGGGAATTTGTTAAAACCAGACCAACCAATTGATTTCTAATTTTGTAACATTGTGATCTGAGAAGATGCTTTGCAGTATTTGAGACCTTTGAACAGAGAGCCAAAAATAGCAAATAACAATCAAACATTAATACACAAGGTGACATAACCCAGAAAACAACACAGCTATGGGGCTATCCAAAGTAAAATAAGCTTAAAAGATTGTAAACAAGGAACCAGAGACATCAATTGGCAAATGAAGACAATTACAAGCCAAAAGGGGAGGGGGGAATAGTGTAGTTACACAACTTCTAAATAGTGAGGAAGTCAAGAGAGTTGCAAGATAGAGTGGATTGTTCTAAACTCAGGGAGAAAATTATATCAGAGGATAACCTCAAAGAAAAATGATAAACCTTCCCATCACAATAAAAAAGAAGACAAGCACAAATATTTAGCAAATACTAAAACAATAGCAACATAGGAAATGATAACACAATTCGTAAACATAATGAGCTCAGCACAGAAAATTATATGGGATGAAGAAACCAGGAAAACCATGAAAAACAATACTTAACAAAATGACAGCAACCAATTCATACTTGTCAAAAATTACACTGAATGTCAATGGATTAAATGCACCACTAAAGTGATGGAGAGTTGCAGACTGGATAAGAAAACAAAACCCACCAATATGCTATCTCCAAGACACACATCTTAGAGACAAAGACAAAAATAGACTAAAAATCAAAGGTTGGAAAAAGATATATCAAGCAAATGGCAATCAAAAAAGAGCAGAAGTGGCAATATTAATTTCTGATAAAATAAGTTTCTAATCAAATTGACTTTAAGACAAAAACCACCATATGAGACAAGGAAGGACATTATATAATGATTAAAGGATCAATTGAACAAGAAGATATAACTATAATATATATCTAGGGACCCAATGAAACATCCCCAAAATACATAAATCAGACTTTAAAAGAGTTGAAAAGGCAAATAGATGACTTTACAGTCATAGTGGGAGACTTTAATACACCACTTTCAATCAAAGATAGAACAGCTGGAAAGAAACTCAACAAAGACACAGAAGAGCTAAATAATACAATCCACCAACTTGACCTTATAGACATCTGCAGAGCACTTCACCCAACAACAGCACAATATGCATTATTTTCCAGTGCACATGGAACACTTTCCAGGACAGACCATATATTAGGCCATAAAGAAAGCCTTAATAAATTTAAAAGCATTGAAATACTGCAAAGCATCTTCTTGGATCACAATGTTATAAAATTAGAAATCAAGAATAAGAAGATCAATGGTAAAAGAGCAAAAACATGGAAACTGAACAATTCTCTTCTTAAGAAAGACTGGGTAAGAGAAAAAATGGAATTCAAAAATTATTGATTCAAATGAGAATGAAGACACAACATACCAAAACCTTTGGGACACAACAAAAGCAGTGATCAGAGACCAACAGAAATAGATAATAGAAAAAATCAACAAATTTAGAAGTTGGTTTTTTGAAAAGATTACTAAAATTGACAAACCACTGGAAAATTTAACAAAGGAAAAGAGGGAGATAATACAAATAACATGAACAAGAAAAAAAAAATGGGCAAGAGAAACAACTGAAATAAAGAGGATAATGTCAACATACTATGAAGAACTGTTGATTGCTAACCAGAAGTCTGGCAGTTCAAATCCATCAGCCACTCCTTGGAAGGAAGGTTGGGCAATTACTTCCATAGTGATATTGCCTCAGAAACCCAAGTAGGGATCTCTATGAGTCAGGTCTGACTTGACGGGACATGACAACAACAACAATGAAGAACTGTATGGCAACTAATTTGGAAATCTGGAAGAAATGGACAGATTTCTAGAAACACACCACTTAACAAAACTAACACAGACTGATGTGGAAAAGTTAAACAGATCCATAACAAAAGAAAAAAATAAAGAGGTCATAAAAAAAATTACCAACAACAACAAAAAAGTCCTGGCCCAGACAGTTTCACTGAAGAATTCTACCAAACATTCAAAGAACTTTTACCAATGTCAATCAAACTATTCTAAAACATAGAAAAGGATGGAATCCTCCCTAATTCATTTTAAGAAGCAAGCGTAACCTTGATACCAAAACCAGGGAAAGACATCACTCAAAAGGAAAACTACACACCACTATTCCTCATGAATATAGATGCAAAAATCTTCAACAAAATGCTAGCCAATAGACTCCAACAACATATCCAAAAAATAATTCATTATGAACAAGCAGAGTTCATATCAGGTATTTAAGGATAGTTCAACATTAGAAAAATGATCAACATCATCCATCACATAAATAAAGCAAAGGAAAAGAACCATATGATCATATCAATCAATGCAGAAAAGGTATTTGCTAAAATCTAACACCCATTCCTGATCAAAACTCT